TATAACAATTTCGGTTAACAATTGTATTATAGAATTAACCTAAATAAGTACAATCGATGACAAAACCCAAGTTAGTACAAACGAAATAATTGATATGTGTATATATTGTATGTACCTATAATTAATTTAAGTGCACATACAGGAGATGGTCTGTGTTACCTGCAGGGCTGCTTCCGTCTTACAGAAGTTCAGTCTTACCGAAGTTTTACTGTATATTATATTGTTGGAGGCATCAATAAATCGAAGTTTTTTCACGAGAGAAATAAAAGCGGTTGAAATCAAAAGTGCAGCTATGTTTGGACTTTGGAATACAAACGAGAATAATTAATAGTTGATATATGTATATAGGTATGCATGTTAAGTGTTAACTATTGTAGAACTGATTCTTGATGCATTTAACAATTGGTTACTATATTTGATCTGTGTGAGTGTGACTGTGTGCAAAGCCCATGTTGTGGTCATGAATAGTATAACACATCAACCAGCTGTTAGTTGTTTGTTATAGCTATAACACGCGTGTAATAATAGTTAATAAAATCACCACTTTCTATAATAACATTTTTAAGTTTATTATCTATAGGGGGTATAAATTTAATCCGTTTGCTTGAAATTTAGTCAATCGTATACATAATGTATATTATATATGTTTATACTTTGGACGTTAACAATATTATGAATTACTTCGTATAATATATGTATTTATGCATCTACAATGTTTTTAAAAAATGTGTTTTATAAATCTAAACTAAATAAAAAATCGTCAATGAAATAAATAGGTACCTATTTCCTACAGCCATTATTTGTGTATCAATAAGTATATTATTTTATTCGTTAAAGCTTGTGCACAAATAATGAAATTTGAATTACTTATGATTTTCAGGTGAAGACAAGTTCGGTACGCGATTACGCGTGAAGTGCGCGGTCACGTGTCGCGAGTGAAATATCCTTATCGCCGGATGGTGCCGAGAAGTGATGATACAGTGTCGCGACGTATCCGGCAATTCTGTGGAATTTTATACGAATTCATGCGCCTGTGCCGACTCCGTTCAGAATAATATAGGTAAGAAATAAATACAAAATTTACTGACTGTTATACCTATCGGAATTATTGGCGAAAAATAATAGATTTCATATAATATTAGGAGAGAGGAGACACGATAAGAATAAATTATATTGTATCTTTCCTAAGATTCTAAGACGTATAAGTCTGCTGCACAACTGCAATGTTGCAACTGATCGATGCAGCTGGAAAGAAACAATAATCTGCAGTGTCAAAGTCTTAATCATATACTACAGTTCTAATATGGTCGTACAAGTGTATGAGGATATTGATGACATATTGGAACATGTAAATAGTAATGTGCAATTTTAAATCCAATCTGTATGAAAATAAAAAGTACGACACTATACGTATATACATATAGAAGACATATGACAAAATTTTTTTTCTAATAGTTATAAACTCATAAGAAAATATGCAATTTATAAAATAATTTTTCTATTCGATAACCATAAACTACAGTCGAGAACCTGAGAGTAAATTGAACTAAAGACCGGTATGGCAAGAGACTGCAACTGCACGTTATAATAAAATTTTATAAATGTTTATAAACATACTTTACATTATGACTTCATTAAATATTATGAAATACTCAACAAATTAGACTTAGGTACGATATTTTACAAAATTGTATATGAATGGGAAAAAATTTCTATTTGAAAATACATGACTGAAGTTTTTCATTATATTTATATGGCTGCAATATTATCGCATATTATCAAATGTGGTGCTTTCGCATGCTATAGAGATAGTTTTTATTATATCCGAAAGAACCTATACGGTCATTTATTAATGTATTATCTAATTTTCAGTTGTGGCAGTCTTGCTCTAGAGGTGCGATTATTATTAAATCTCACGGGTACTTGCATAATATGGCATGTTATAATAATAATATAATATACCTATTATATATAGGTACTATATAAATAATATAAGTATTGACCTGCAGCAGTTGTGTACGACGCACGTTGCAAGATGAGAGTCAAGTATACGAACTTTGATCATCAACCGCAACTGCGGCGTTTACACTTCATAATAATATATACGTATATCATGTTGTATATATTATTATATTCGATGTGTATTATATATATATATGTGTGTGTGTGTGTGTGTGTGTGTGCATTGACTGCGCGTAAACTACTCTATAAAAACGGTCGTAAAACGACGACAGACTATTTTATATACGCGTCTATAGTGCGCGGACTTTGGAAACACCGTTTATAATATTCAAATGACTTTACGGTCTGGCTATGCATGACCTGTGTACGCTGCACTCGGATCGCATAAAAACCCGTTTGTACGTGTCGTCATGCAGCAAAATAATATAATATTATTATTATTTTGTATATTATATAATACTGTATTTATATTGTGCGTACACGCGATGTGTAAGAGACTCGCGTGCTACAGCCGCGATTCGTCGTCAATCATCGGGGATGTATAATATTGAAAAGATAGGTATATATATTATTATATTTAATTATATGGAGGTACCTACTGTGTCGATACAAACTTTATCTCCTATATATCCATACGCCTGCAGCATGATTGTGTGGCTATATTGTATGGATACACCCGTCAACCCATGTTTTCATATACCAACGAAATTTATCATACCTATATAGGTGTCGAATTAGAATTAGATCGAATAGATCGGTCTGTGTTAGTCAATAACAATAAATAAATATCGAAAGAAACCACATAACCGAACAATTATTCATGGTTAGGTTATATGTTAACAAAGAGTTAGACATGTGGGATATTATAATTTATATTATACAGAATATATAAATACATTTTTTATACTTTTATGTAAGGTGTACGTATTCTAAGTCATTTGTAAGCTGTAAGACAGTCCGCTGGATTTTTGTTTACCTAGATATACTTGTACTATTTTTCAAGGCATTTATATTGACTGTATGCCAAACATATTTTCTCCCTATTTTTATGCAAATTGTTGAGTGAATGATTTTTCGAAATACTTCGATACCTGCATCGAAATCAAAAGAAGTAGGTAGTAGTTTCTGAGTTATTATAATTTATAATTCCAAGGATAATAGGTTACGTGTTATATTATATATAAGTATAGATAGTCTATTGAATATTTAAATATATTACCTATAACATACATTATAAATAGATTTAGAATCGATATGGACCAATGGACCATATATATAGTTAAACTATATACGTGCGACATAAAATGTATTAGTCAGTAATATTTAATCAAGTTGATTTCTTTTAAATTATATTTTATCTAAAACTATTATATTACCTATGTATAGATTCTATAAACCCATCATACATATTTATAATATTATATATATTTTACATCTAATTATAGAATATCACATCCAGATTATCATATATAATTTATTAGTACCTACTACCTATATATATAGGTAATATTTTGTATGATATAAAATAATTCAGCAACTAAGAGTTAGAATTTCGATTCTAGTAGATACTGGCCACTGAAAATGAGCAATAGGCAAATTCATTTTCACCATATAGTCAGTTCTTATAAGCCTACATACGGCATACAAAATTAAACGTTTGGAAGCGTGATGTGATTTTTAAGTAGTTATGTATATGATATGAAGTATAGGTAGGTATATACAGGTTCAATAAAATAAGTTTAAGGGATGCGAGTGGAAATGGAATGATTATAGCATGTAACCGACACTTTCCTATAATTTCGATTTAAATCATGGGTCAGAGAACTTATTGATGACAAGGGCCAAAAAAATTTTCACTGGTTACAATTTGAATATACCTTATTTTATTTAAACCATATAGTCATATAAAGTTAGTTATTTCTGTTCACAACTGTTAGGTTTATCAATAGCTTAATTATAGGTATCTACAAACAACGCTTTAATTTTCAGTTTCCAGTCCTCATACACTATCTTAGTTCGTGATTTTTATACAAATTATAAATTCTACTAGCGGGCCACATGCAATTACAACGAGGGCCACATGCGGTCCGTGAGTTGCCGACCTCGGCTTTAGATTATAAATATCGTCTGAAAGCGGAATCGCTGCGAAAAAATAAAACCATAATATTGTGATATTCGCGGGACGTCGTCGCAGTGTCGAAAAAAAAATAATCATGGCGCAAACGGCGGCCGATCCTTCCGTCGTGGTCGCGAAATTTCGGCGACGGCATCGCGCGATGGGCGACGGCGGCGATGGCCAGGCCGGGCGCCATGCCGGATAGGAGGAGTCGCGCGCAGGTCGCGAGGACAATCATGGTAGCGGAGCCGCCGCGGGACCGGCCCTCGACCCGCCGCCGCGGCCGGGCCGGACGGCGAGCGCGGACGATGCTGCGCCGCCTTTACTTTCTCTCGCTCTGTCCGCCAACTACCCCTGGGGATGACGGCATTTCCGGTCACCCAGATGGCGGCAGCGCCGCGACGGGTAGGAATTCGCGTGAGACCCACACGCGGGTATCTTTGCGCCCCGGCGAATAAAATAATATAATATATCCATAATTCGCATAAGATTATATTTAGGTATATTATAATAATATTACGTCGTAAGGGGTTACGGTATCATTGCGGTACTATCGCAGTACACGTACGCATATACGAACATGATGGCGTTTTCTCGGAATCCGCCTGTAGCGTGTCTCCTCGGAGACTTCGGTGCGCCGAGGGACTATAATATAAGACTCCCAGGACGCGGTCCCCATGTCAATTTTCTGGGCACAAGGCGAGTTCAGCCGAAACGGATATATTATTATAGGGTACATATAGGTATATATACAGCCGTATCTACAGTAGAGCCGAAGCTGCCGGTGTTATACATTAGGTATGTGAGTTTCGAGCGGGCCTAATCGTTATCGAAAAATATATTACATTGACCTACGTCTAACGCGACCTATAATAATATTATAATAATATTGTTATTGATAACCATACTAAATTGCACTTACCTTGGTGGGTCCTGGCGACCACGAGCTGTGCGACTATGTGTAGGTGTATGTAGAGGTGTAGTGTTGAGTGAAGGTCCAGCGATGATATGTTCGGCTGTAGTGTCGTGAAGGGTACATAGGTTTAGCGTGCGTAGAGGAGCAAGCAACGGTCCGCTCGAATTCCAAATGTCGAATACACGCGACGATTCGGTAGTGAGCTGACCGAGAAGGGCTTTGCAGGGTCGTGAGGAGAATAAATGGTATAAGGTAATAATAATGGTCATCGCGATCGTCGTTTACCTATACGAAAAACGCGAGACGTTCGCCGATTGGTCGACGACGACGGCGGACTGTCGTTTTCTTTTGACCCACATAATAGTATAAGGTATTCTTACCAACACACAGATTCGGGTTTTTTGGAGACGAATTTATTCGTTTTTTTCTTTTAGACGGTCGCTCCCTCGAATAATGACACTGCCGCAATAAACATTGCGGTGTGGCCCAGTGACCCCTTTCTCACCGCGCACATTACGTGGACGCGTGCAACTGCGGGGTATATACCTGCAGCCACCACACTATACCTATACTATGTAGGTACACCTCCGACGACTGCATTGTCTTGTGAGACTTTTCAAAAGAATTCTTTAACCCTTTTCATCTCTCGCGTCCGAGTTTTTTGCTGTGCACTCCAAAACAATGACCTGCAGCGTCGCGACGGTGACAAAAAACTGCGCTCCACGCTACGCATTATGTTATATTATTATTGCCTAAATATTATTATTGTTGTTGTACTCTATGTGTGATGCGTGTATATATTTCACCATGTATAGGAGACGCTCCGTTACGGTTGTAACGAAATTAGGTATATCACTCGTTCAGGTCCAATCGCTGGTCGCGTATTGCTGGTGTAGGTATGTACGTATATAGGTAACCGCAACATGCCCGCGAGTGGGTCGTCGTATTATATTGTGTTTTATTACGTTTCGAGTTTCTCCCAAAAAAAAAAAACACCTTTTGTCCCCAAAATCAGGTCATTGCGGTGATAAAGTGAAAATTCCTCCTACCACCCCGACATGGTCTGCTATCATCGCGTGGGGGGTAGGTTTTAAAAAGCGATACACGAGTTCCATTTTATATCAAATCATTTTACCAAAATGTATTTGAACGAGTTTTTGGTGTAGGTACGAGTGTGAAATCAAAAATCATAATATGTGGGTACATCTACGCGTTGGAATGATCACTGACCACGGAAAACAGGTATATATAGCCATATATGATGTAGGTATACCTAAATTTGAGAACCAAACACATTATATTCGTTAGAGTGTGAGACTTTCAGTTGAATTGTTAAAGTTATATATTTTATACTTAACGTGGCTATCATAATTTTTATCTATATATATATGCACTCGTAGACGTGCAGGATGGGGTCTGGAAATTTGTAGGATAAATTATAAAACTGCAGAACGTTTCACATTCCCTCTATGGTACACCGAAAGAGTGTAGTGAATCTACGAGGTACCAAATTTACGAAAATAAAATTCTTTATTTGACCCTCTCGGTCGGGCCCCCACCCTCACCAATTAAATAATTATTGTTACAACATGGTTTTTTGTTAATGTCACAAATTTTTTTGTTTGGAACCAAACAATCAAATTTTATTATAATATAATATATACTTAGTACTTACTGACTGTACAAAAAATATTTTTAAAAATAAATAATAGGTAATTTAAAGAATAAGATACCTATATTAATTATACAATCATAAAAAAAACTATAATTAAATGTTAAATACTATAAATTAAACAGAATATAACTTATATAATATATCATTATGTTATAACTTTATAAGGTCTTAAATCGATGATGACTAAACTCTCCTATACCCCCTCTCATAACAAATTCTTATTGCATCTATGTAAACAAGTTATCTCAGTATTCAAATATATCATATTATTTAAATGTAAATATATATATAAAATACTTTAGATTTTAGAATGCCGAAGATATATCACTGAAAATATTTCTCTTACACACATGTATGTAGGTACCTTACATTAAATGGTCAAATTAACTGATAATTAAGTTTCAATTTAACTATAGGTATAATATACCTATATTATTTAACGAATGTATTCACTCAGATACGATATCAGCCACTATGCAAAATCTACACCCATCATGAATTGTACTGAGATAATGGCATACGTAAGAAAATATATAAATAAGTAATCTAGTTTATATTGTTGTTGTATTATAATATAATATTTATTATGTATAATAAGAGCGTTCTACATTTTTAAGACTTTCTGTGCAATATGTATTATGAAAACTGAAGCTCATTTCGAGCCTAATTGGATTCGTTCTCGGACGATTATTAAGTACGTGTACAATGTACATAATATATATATCATATATCATATATCATACATCATGTATCATATATGGGTATGATATGTATAATATAGGACAGACCTATAATATTATAGATATAGGATTACGCACAGATGCGCCGCCGAATAAATCTTTGACGTATAGAAAATCCTTGAAAACCTTGGCCGTTTTACATAATATATATATACGGGATCAGGTGTTTGAGATGTTTTAGAATTTCGTAGGTACTATATAACTCATATACATACAGAAAGATCACTATATATACATATTAGTACATAATTCATGAAAATAACTATATACCTGGGCCTATGATAATGCTGTTTAGGTCACGAATGTAAGTTTATCTAAACATTTAAACAATAGTCGTCATTTGATTTTCTTAGTCGTTTTTCCGAGGGTCTATTGCATTGAATCGTTAAAGTAAAAAACATTTAAGTACCTATCTAAAATTATATGTTCCTACCTATAATTTTACTGTTTAATCTCTTTTTTTATTATTCGTTATTTCTGCATCAGAGACCTGTTATAACTCGGTAAATAATAATCGTATAAAGTCTTAAAATTTAAATCGATTATAAAAATATTAGTTGACTGGTTTTCCGAGTTTTGTTTATATAAAACAATGGGAAGTTAAAAAAAATATTATATTTTTTTCTATTTGAAATTACTTATAATTTTCAGATATAGGTACATTGAATGCATTTGAATTTTAAGACGTATTGCGTGACATTTGGTACAAGGTTAATACAATACCACTTCTGTAACTGCTGTGTTTGGCTACAGATATACCTATATATTATATTATATAGGGTTAGAAAATAATAAAATATTATATTTTATTTGATAATTGAATATTTTTAAAAGAAAGTAAGCAACTTTCATTTTATTTAAATAAAAATATATAATAAATAAACTATTTATCTAAATCGAACTCCATTCAAAAAGTATCGTCATTCTGATGCTTGATTTATAGTATTGTAATAGGTACCTATATATTGAATTTTTACACAATAGGTACAAATATAATATAGGTATGTTTCATTAAATCAAAAATATATTCGTTATTATTAATAACTTATTATTATTTATGATTAAGGCGGATTATTTATGATACAAAAAAAAAGAACCATAAATAACTATACGTAAATTATATAATATTGTAGTCATTTTAAATATATTTTATTCGAAAATAAAATTTCGTTAGCACAGTCAATAAATTATTAAAATACATACTTAAGTATTAAACATATGTATTATTCATTTTTATTATCGAATAAGGTAGATAAGTAGGTACCCATAAGTACGCAAATGTTATAACTTAATTTTTTTTTAATTAAATTATAATTTACTTAGTTCTATGGACTGCATTAATAAATGCACAACAACATTATAATATTTATTGTGTATAATAATTTATAATATATTTTATATTACCTTAAGTGAATCATAATATGTATCCTCCACGTTTATACTTAAAATATAGGTATGACTGTATAATGTATGATGTATCGGTAAGTGTAATAATAATAATATTTCGGTCATCGGATATAACGTTTGAAGCATTTAATTAAAAATTGATTTATTAATTTGTAATTGGTATCTGTTATTTATATAATATGTTGTAAATATAAAATTTATATTTCATATTTTATAACTCCTAGAAAAAAAAACTATCTAGCATAATGTTATTAACATAATATAGCATAGTATACGTATAGGTATATTATTAGGCAAACGCGTTAAGAAATCCTTAACAGTTATTACGAGTTTATGGAGGCCGCCCGTGTTCAATTTTATTTATTTAATAATTTATAAAGGAAATACTGTGCATTATAATTTAAAATAGTTGACGTATTGTAGGTATTATAATATTATATACCACCCCGTTCTATACCAAGATATATTATTATAATATTTGTATTTACTGATATTTGTGTGTTTCCAAAATTTTTATTTGATGTTAAATAATGGATTTTTCTCTCACACTAATAATTTTACCGAAGGTATTTATGAACATATTATTTCTAGAAAACTGGTTTGAATAATTTGTATTCTTTATAGTACCTATCAGTTTCTATATATAATATTATATACACCTTTAATTTACCTGCAGTATGTGTGTGACATATTGTATTCAATTATATATTTATATAAAATAACACAGTCGTCGTCTTATAGGTATAATATATAGGTAGTGTCCCGAAAAAAAATGATTTCATACCCATTTGTATTGCCACCACAACTCTCTAAATCCGAATAATAATGAGTAAAATATTATATTTTCTACCTTTATTTTATTCATAATATCACTATATTATGCAACGCTAACACCTATATGCAATCTCTAAAATGTTTTTATGCGCCCGTGAGCGTTTCAATTAATATTTAATAATGTTTTTTAGACTTTTGTCTAGTGATCGTAGGTTTAATTATTTACGTTACTACGTATATGATATGTGTATACTGTATACATAATAAATATTAAATACTAATACTAATAAATTACTTTTACTTTCAGTATTACTCAGAATTGTTAATATTATTATTATTATTATTATTATATAGGTTTGAATGTACAGCGACACTATAAGTTTATTTTTTCTTATATTATATTTGTATTTCTTATATCGACTTACCGTATAGTGTGTATACCTATATATTATATGTATTTAAGTGTTCAAGTCAAAGTCAGGACGATTTAGAACATAATATGATGCGTTTATCGAAATAAAGTTGTAAAGATAAATATAAATATCGCAAGGGCCAAGGACCTATGCGGCTAGGTATTTTGTTATAACATAACATCATATTATACGAATTTTCTCTTCAGGATTGAAAAAAAACTTATACACCACCCAAATGTACAATTATTTTATTGTAAGCC